AAATGGTCTTCCCAAATCAATGGGGTTTACCATTTCCAATTTCCAAATATGGCACAATGGGAAAAAGATAAAAATGATTTTAACTTGTGTTTGGGATGAAGATTTCTGTCTTTGGGGTTGTTGCGCCATGTAGTATGGTAGATGTTTACCAGCATTTCGGAGGTCGTACTGCCTCCGTCATCAGGGAAATGAATGTCATCTACCATACTAAAGGCGCAACAACCCAGAAGACAGAAATATTCATACTCACTGCTGTGAAAACCTCAAATCATACATTGTGTTTGGGATGTTAATAATATTAAACATTTGTATGGATTTCAGACAACAGTGTATATGGTTATTAATTTTTAATTTCAGACTTTCTGGGCTTCTCATTAAAGAAAACTTTGTTTTCAAGTGCATATGATTAGCATTTGCAGAACTGATACCTGTGCAAATATCTCTTGTTCTTATTCAATTAGATGTTCATTCAAAGGAAAATGTACTGAGCAAATGCATTATGATTAAGAATGCTGGCATACAAGCAGAAATTTAAGAAACCCTTCCTGATATGTTGCATAAGGACATTTCAGGTTTTTTGGGATTGGTGTAATGAAACAGATGCCATAAACATGTTCAGTTACAGTAGTAAACCTTGAATATTAATTTTTACAAGTCATTTATGTTAGAAATACTCAAATACAGGACAGTCACGAATCCCAGCATACCTTTCCAGGACACCAATACAAGGCAATAAAGTAATATGCAATTCTACATATATTGGAATCCTACTTATGTTTGTGGTATTGATACTTGCTCTTCACTTCCTCCATTTCTGTCATTTGGATTATGTAAAATTACTTTTGTTACTTACTTGGTAATGGAACGCATTATGGCTAGGAAACTTTTTCTGTTAAGTTCTCTATTTAAAAAATGTTGATGCTCTGCCAGATTGCTACATAAAAAAGTAAATGCAATTTTTAAATTGTTTCATAATTTAGTCTTCATTCTTAATTTTATATCTTAATTACTGTATTTTGACTATAAGAATTAGTGTGTGTCACTTGCTTCCTTTCATTAATATTTCAGCATGAATTGGACTGGTTTATAATTATTTTCTGTTTTCAGGTAATCTAGGCAATGAAGCAATTATGGTGACTAAAAGTGATGAAGTATTTGCTGTTGGTTCAAATTCTGCTGGCTGTTTAGGACTTGGTGATTTACGAAGCACATTATTTCCAAAGAAAGTGGAAGCTTTGTGTAATAAACTTGTAAAAGGTATGAAACAAAACCTTGGTTTTATGGTTATGTATCCTGTATGACTTCTTATTATTATATTTAAGACTGAATACAGTAAAATGTTGATAATATAAAATTACTCACACAGACTCCTTGATAAAATATTTTGCTGGCAGGTACTTGTATGTTAATGACATTTTTAAAGCTATATTTAACCTTTTTTGCTGTAGAAGCCATGGTTTTGTTAATGACATAATTTAATAGTTGAATATAGGCATTATCATTACCTACCTCTTAAAGAGGTCATTTGAATTTAAATTTGTTAAATACGCTGCATTTATAAAATTGTACATTTCAGTTTGCAACACGTCACTAACAGGAACTGATAATTGGATTGTTCATTTTTCAGGCTTTGCATATGGATGTGGCCCACATGTAATAGCCTTCACAGACAATGGAACAGTATATTCTTGGGGCCACAATGGTTATAGTGAACTTGGAATTGGTTCATCAAATCAGTGTTTATCTCCAACTCTTATTCTTCCAAATGTTTTTGGTAAAATGACTGTAGTGACAGAAGTGGCATGTGGAACTCACCATTCACTGGCTTTGACAAGAGATGGAGAGGTACAGTGACATTCAGATGTGTTTTATGTTCAGAACTCAAAACTGTTTTGACTTTTGGTTCAGTGAAGATGAATGCAGTATGTTCCTATGAAATGTTGGTATCTGCTGACAAGTCCAAACAGCATTACTACCTAGAAAACCACTATTGATATTTTTCTAATGTGGGTTACATTAGCTGAATGTTTTATGGTTTAACAGAGTTTTCTGTATGAGAAGTATCCCACATAATATTTTACATGTTTTGCAGTAATAGCCTTTGTGTTTTTAAAGTGGTAAGCAGAGTTTTTAAAATTGTTTACATTAACCCTTTCCTGTTAGGTATGGAACAGCTTTGCCTCGCGGAAGATTACACTGTACATTCTGGACACTATGTGAAATATCTTTCTTAGCTCTCGGTCAATATAGATGTAGGATCATGAAATTGTGTGTGGTAATGAGTCTTTGAAAAAGGAATTCATTTTGGTAAGGTAAATTTTGTAGAATGTGAAACAACAAATGGGGTAGCCATGCAGACATTTTTCACATGCAGTTTGATAGATAATTAATCTAACTTTGGAGCTGGGTCTATGAAATTTGGTATGATGGTAGATTATAAAAATATGTTAAAATTGTGTCTGAAATATTGTTAATATGTGTACATTTATACACAGCAATAGAGCCAAAGTTTGAGGTAATATCTGAAAAATTTAATGTCGCTAGAATCTTCATGAGTTCTTCCCATGATGAAAATAGTGATGATGATGATAGTAATCTAGTAATATCAATCATTCATTGGTTCCTTAACAAGAAGGTACTGTCTCCAGCAGGATTAATTCCCATGGTCATTTGGTCCCAAGTTCAACATGTTAACCTGCCAGATAAATTGCGTTACATCAGACTCACATTTTTTAAATATAACATGAACAATACAAGGTTTGTAGGGGCTGGAATATAAATTAAATTAAAAAAAGATGGGAAGATGCAAAGTCTCTAGCTAAAACATCTACAAGACCATTGATTAATCTTGATGATAGTCTGTGCAGTATAAAAATAGACTTTATGTGTTCTGCCTGGAATGCCTTGTCTTTATGTATGTTGAAAAGTATCAGAATGTTGACAAACAGAAGCCTTTAGCTTATGTTATTTTGTAAGTGTTGCTGTAATGATCGTTTTAGGTTGTAAACACAGTATTCACAGGTTTTATATATATGAAGGTTTAATATGCTATTAAAACACTTGTGACTTGTTAACTTATTTCCAGGTTTATGCATGGGGACAGAATAATTGTGGACAAGTAGGTTCAGGAATGAGCACCAATCAGAGTGCTCCAAGGAAAGTGAATTCTTTTATTGGAGAAAAGAGGACCATATCTATAGCTTGTGGCCAGACATCATCGATGGCTGTATTAGAAAGTGGAGAAGTATAATGTTTTTCCATTTATAATTTATGATAAACATGACTTGCATTTTTAATTATAATACTGTAAATGTGGATGGTGCTTTGATCATTGAAGTGATTTGCTTCTGTTACAGAATTTTTCATAAGACAACAGTTAATGTGCTAATCTGTATATATAAAATAGGATACTATTTATGCTTGTGTGTGTTATGCATGAGTTCTTGGTAATGATTCTAGATGGTAGAGTGTGCTGTGCTAACATTAGGCAGATTTTAGAAGTACTTTTGAAAGAGATAAAGGTTCTTAAAATCTCTTGAATCCTTTCGGAGGTAATCTTTTCAACATGTTTTTTTTAATTTTCATTGTGTTGTATGAATTGCATTTGTTTGTGAAACTTGTAGTTCAGCATGTCATGATTTTTAAATTTATTTTATGGCCTGAAAGAATGTATTGTACAGTCCTGAAAAAATGCATTTCTGTGATATTAATATTCTCTCCTTATTTCTTCATATTGGCAATGATTTACTACCACAAGATAATGTTGGTCTCCCAAGTGTCTTGCACTGTATTTGCATTGGTGAGTACGACATTGCAGGTGTGCAATCATTTAGCTGCAGTACTGAACACTGTGGCTGGGAGATACATCGCTTACCAAAGGAATGTTTCCAAGACAGTTATTTATTTTTGTTATGTTTGTGAAGGCTGATATTGAAGTTACACATAGTGGATACATGAATCTGTTTATTCAGTTTTGAAGTAAGCAATTCAATCAAAGAGAGAGGTAGCCATGCCAGGTAAGATAAATTTGCAATGAAATAAATTTCACACTGAATAAATTTGTGGCTTGTATTTGTAATTGTGTTTCATAATCGTGGATGAAGCCTGTTCTAGTTACAAGGATTAAAGCTGATCCTTCTATCCTTTTGTTTGACATCCCTGGCACATTCTGTTTTGTAGTATGTATTGATGGAACAGCTTTGGGACTTGGTTTTCAGACATATGTTTCAAATGTTCTAGCCATTTCATTTATCATTTTATTGGTGTATATTTTTCTCAGTTATTTTCTAATGTCAATAGATTTATGGTTCACATAAGTTGCAGTTTTCAGTAAAACTAATATTTTTTTTATGTTATAAGCATTTGTTGTTTTTGAAGAAGTGAAAATCAGGTACTGAATATGATTTCATGAATTCATCAGTACGATTCATATGTGTAGGATATAAAGTTACTGATTTTCTAACAGTAGGCTGCATCACAATGTTAAAAATGCAAAACTTGACAAGGATTGTTTAGCACTCTGTTGTTTTGTGCAGGTGTATGGTTGGGGGTACAATGGGAATGGGCAGCTTGGTGTAGGAAACAATATGAACCAGCTGAATCCTGGCCGAGTACTTAACCTACAGGGTGTTATTATAAAAAGAGTTGTTTGTGGCTATGCCCATGCAATGGCCCTTTCTGATGTTGGTGGTCTCTATGTGTGGGGAGCAAACAGTTATGGACAGCTTGGAACTGGAAACAAATCTAATGTCAGTGCACCTGTACGTGTAGTGCCAGAAATAGGAAGGTTTGTACCTTTGATTTTTATTAATGACATTCTTTATTCTGAGGGAGGGTAATTTTTAATTTTATAAACATAAAGTATGAAATTTAATGTTCTTTCATATGATACTGACTCATTTTAGTTGCCTTTAAGATCTGAAGTGAATGTTAGATGTAAGAAAGAAGAAGTTAGAGGATGAAGACAATTACATTATGAAGCTTCATACTTTGCACTCTTTGCCTAATATTGTTAGGTTTATTAGAAGGATACAATGGGAAAGATATGTAACAGACCTGGGAAATGAATTCGTACAAGTTTGTGAACATGGTAATTAACCATAGGGTTCTGCTTGTGGCAAAAATTCTTGATCCATGTATTAACTTTTAGAAGTAGACCCTTAACCATGTAGTTTACTCTGAGATTTGATGTTCTCATGGCAATGAAGATAACTGTTATTCTTCTGGGTTGTGACACCATGTAGACTCATATCATAGATACCTGTGTTTCATAGTAACCATCAGGAATCTTCAGCCCTAATGATGGAAACGGTGTTTCTCTGAAATGTTTGTATAGACCTTTCAATCCACACAATGTCACAAGCCAGAAGAACAACATTGTCATGTGTTTTATAACTGAACATGCCTTTTACATTATATACCAAGCCTTGTCACAGATGAGGTATTATTGCATTCACAAAATAATTACTTTTGAATGTTTTTCAAATATCTGTTTGAATTTTAGTATGCTTTGTGAATTCCATTCTTAGAATTTGATCATTTCTTCTTAAGAGCTTAATTTTCTTTAATTGTATTGTGAACTGAAAATGCTGTTGATTAAGGGCCAATGTTTAAAAGCTGTTTTTTTGGATACTCTAGTGGAAACTTACTGAAGTCAACCCTTGTAAGACAAATACTGCAGTATGTGATGGATAAGAACTCAAGTGAACAATAAATTAGAAATATTGTGGAAGGGAACAGTCATGGTCTATGTTAAGATGATTACACAAACATTTGCCTAGAGGGACTGAGGAAATCTATAGAAAACCTCATTCAAGGTAGCTGGTATCTGTAGAGATTTGAACCTGTGGCCTCCGAATATGGAGCAGGATTGCTAAACACTTAACCACAATGTTTGTTATATGCCTACTAAACTAACCATGCACAAGACAGTGGCAAGTGATGTGAGCAGGAAAATACTTTGACAAGAAAATTTTAGTCATGTTATATTCTGAACATTCTTTATCCTAGCAATGTGAACGTGGTATTTGTACAAAGCAGTTATTACAGATGAAGTTGAGAACCATGAAATCATAAAGATGATCCAGTAACAATTATTTAATTTGAAAACCTGAGCCTCTACAAGCAGACATTGCAATTTGTGAACAGTTTGTAATTTAAACTCTTCTCATATTCAGTTCACATCATTAACTGTTAGTTAGGCATGGTACATTAGGAAATTAGCCTTTGCATAATACATATTCTGTATTAGCCTAGTCATTGTACACTGTGTAATAAGGATAGAAATTGCAAAAGAGAAAGAACATGAATATTTCTGTCTTCGGGGTTGTTGCGCTGTGTAGTCTGGTCGATGTTAACCAACGTTTCAGAGGTCACACTGCCTCCGGCATCAGGGTGATGAGTATGAAGATTTCTGTCGTCTGGGTTGTTGCACTGTGTATTCTGGTCGATGTTAACCAACGTTTCAGAGGTTGGTTAACATCGACCAGACTACACAGCCCAACAACCCAGAAGACAGAAATCTTCATACTCATCGCTGTGAAAACCTCAAATCTTACAGAGAAAGAACATTTTCTGGTGCATCTGGTAGACAGGTTCTTGTTTCAGTGCATTTGTCTCAATGTTTGTATATGTATAATATAGTTTTCAGTGTTGATGTTACTAGATGATACAATGTAGCGCAACATATTTTTGTTATGGATGTTAGAACATGTAACTTTGTTTTATTCCAGGATTGTAGATATAGCAGCTACACATTATAATCATACATCAGCAGCTATGACACAGAATTCAAAAGTGTTTATGTGGGGGCAGTGCAGAGGTAAAAATTTTGTAGTTTGTGTGATGGATGGTTAGAATTAAGTTTGAGCATGAATCAGTGAGGGTACTGTGTATTTGAAAATCAGCTTTTATAGTAGTTATTTCCATTTCTGAACCAAGTTATATGTCTCATCACCAGAGTGCAATGCAAAGATTTAGTATATGGATAGCTAATAAATCTTTCCAAATACTTGGTCATGACTATAACAATTCAAAATTGCATTACCTTTATGAAAAATTAAAAACAGATTGAATTTTGAGAATGTTTCAGTTAAGAATATTTTGTCTTCCTATTTAAGACAAAGTTTAAAATATATTAAACTATAATTTTGTGTATTTTGTAAGAGTGTAAAACATAGTTTTTAAATGCAGTTTCACACTGACTATCAACCCAAGTAAAACATAAATGATGCTGTAAGAATAAGAATAATTACATACTGCATATGCCTTACTGAATTCCATAGTTGAGCTACTTATGTGGCCATTTTGAAAGTCCCTGTAAGTTGTCTGTTTATCCGTTTTTTGGGGCTGTATTAGTGTCTTATGAAGACAAAGAACTGTTATATATAATTATTCAGATTTAAACAGGACAGGAGCTTGAGAAAACATACAATTTTTGACATTTTGTATGTAAACAATATTATATTTAATTATCTTTCTTTTTAAATACATTTGTATTATGGTAACATTACAGGTCAGAGCATTATAAGTCCAACAGAAACTCCATTCACATCTTTACATGATGTTTTTGCATGTTTTTCAACACCAAGTGTATCATGGAAACCTATGGAAGTAGATTTGGATGCTGGTGAAAAAATTACAGACAGCTTGAAACTTGCTTTTGATGATTCAGTAAGTACAGTAATGTTTTGCAATAAAATGTTAATTGATTTTAGAAAAGCAATGCTTTATGCCAGTCACATATTTACTGACCCACCACCACCACCTGCCTTCTCACCTCTCTACTCCACCTTACAGAACACATCTAAACTGAATTTAGTTTACATCTCAGAGTCCACAGAGAAATTGTTAAAGAAGAAAAGCAGGCAAAGGAAGGGAATAAATTGTGAAATTATTCCAGAAGACAAAGATGAGAGAAAATGTGGGAAGAGAAATGTATTAGATTCTATGGTATAGGATGGAATTTTTTATAATGTGAACTGCAACTTTCTTAGCAATGATTGTACTACATGGAGTTCGATAATTATATAATATATACTTATTATTTATAAGGATCCGCTGCGCGGTCTGAAGCATGGGCCTTGTGCCGCTTGGTCGCTGGGACCATGGATTCAAATCCCACTCAAGCCATTAATGTTTGTCCACGTTATTCTTTGTTGCGCTGTCCTGTGTACAGGTAGAGGCCTTGTGATGGGCTGATCCCTCGTCCAAGGAGTCCTACCGACTGTCTATAGATCAAGCCAACGAAAAGTTGGGACCCGAAGTGCTCAGGCACTTGAAGAACGGGTCGTTCCCAGTATCCAGTACTATTTATAAAGGATTAAGATATTGTCAATACTATTGATATTCGTATTCAGGTGGAAAGGACTTCATTTCAATTAGGTATTCGTGTGGCATACAAGTCACAGGTTGTAGCTTGCTACTCTGCTTGTTTTTTGCTTTGCTGTCAGAGAAGAGATATTCATTTAAAGTTGAGATCAAGATGTTGATTGGAAATAATCATCACACAGAAATAGTAGATTTTTGTCCATCACACTGTTATTCAGATAGTTCCTAATTAATACTCCCTGAATTTTGGTTATCCATGGATAGAAGACGTGACTGTAAAGTATCCATGTGCCAATCCAGAAAGGTTGGAACCATTTACAGTATTGAGCACTACTATTTAGAAACAAAATTTTGGATATGTTTTATAATATTTTATATTTGGGATAGTAATACTGATAAGATGAAATATTTCATTACAGAGCAGTAGTGATTTGACAATTACAGTTAGTGGGAAACCAATACATGTACACAAAGCTGTTCTAAAAATAAGGTGTCAGTACTTCCGATCCATGTTCCAAGATCATTGGGAGGAAGACAACAAAAGGTAACACAATGTTGGATTAAAGGTTCTCATGGCAGTGAGTACAAAGGTAGCTGTCTTGTAGGTTGTAGCACTGTGTAGCCTGGTAGAAGTTTATGTATGTTTTAGAGGTCTTTGCTGCCTCCGTTATTGCCCTGATGGAGGCTACGACCTTTGAAACATTCATAAACCTTTACCAGTCTACAGAGTGCTACAACCCAGAAGACTGCCATCTTCACACTTAGTGTTCCTTGCTATGTTAACATTAAGATAATCACATGTTTTAGTATATTATACTGACATTCAGAAATGTAATTTTTATGAAATAATTCATATTACTTGACCAGCTCCCTATGTAAACATACAATAACACATGCATTTAAGGTGATTCCAAGGGATGTGAAAATGTTTGTGTTTTGGACAATTTTTTGTTTAATACAGATGATTACTTCCAAATAATAATAATAAAAAAATTGTATAATATATGCTCTGTGTATTTATGATGTAATGAGAGTCAGAATCCATGCTATTTATGTGTACTACACTGTTATTGACCACTACATATTTTTAGTTTTCTTTCTTTTTTATATTTTTTATGTTTAATCTTTAGTCCATTAAAAATTTGGTTGGCCATAATTCTTTCCAAATTATGGTACCAATGTTCATTCTCAGGTCAGTTCCATGAAACACAATATGGACATAAATTATATGAACAGAAAATAAATATTATTTGTCAAATTCTTGATTTTTTATTTCCACAATTTCTGTTTATTATAGGTAATTTCATATAAATTTGCCTTGAGGTTAGGGAATTTTTTTGAGTGAAAACAGCTTTATTATTTGCCAAGGATTTATTTTAGACAGATGTATTACTCTGTAGTTCACTTAATTTTTATTTTGAAATTCTGTTCTATGAAAATTCATGCTTGGTTTCAGAACAATTTTTCTCAACTTAATTTCTACATCTGAAGCTTCTTGTCATATCTGAATTCTCTGGTACATGGTTATGGCCTCTGATTACATGTATTTCTTGCAGTGTTCTTGAAATGGATCATCACTCATATCTGGTATATCACGCATTTCTGCAGTATTTGTATACAGATGAAGTAAATCTCCCACCAGAGAATGCTCTTGGTGAGTCTGTTAGGAACTGTACAGTTTTCACACCTGATAGAGTACAATGTATGTAGTAAAGAAATATATGGTTCCTGGTATTCTACATAATGTTCAAATTATCTTGAATTTAAAATATCTGTAGTTCTTTAACCACTGAGAATCAGACCTGTGTTTATAAGGCGGGGGTCCGCGGTGGCCGCGCGGTCTGAGGCGTGGGCCTTGTGCCGCTTGGTCACTGGGACCATGGGTTCGAATCCCACTCAAGCCATGGATGTTTGTCCGCGTTTTTCTGTGTTGTGCTGTCCTGTGTACAGGTAGAGGCCTTGCGATGGGCCGATCCCTCGTCCAAGGAGTCCTACCGAATTCCTATAGATCAAGCCAACGAAAAGTTGGGACCCGCAGTGCTCAGGCACTTGAAGAATAGGTCGTTCCCAGTATCCAGTTTATAAGGCATTTCTGTTTGGGATTAACCTTGGGAATAGGATCCAGAAGTATTGACATAAAGTCACTGGGCACTTTGTGTGTTTTAAAGTGATCCTAGTAACATCTCAGACATTCTAGGGAAGCGGGAGTGTTATAAAAGATTTGTAATGCTGATCTTTTTTCAGGTTGTGATTTATTCTTTTACCCTATGGATTCCATGGATTCCACTGTTTAGGAATATTACATTAAAACCATATATAGATCTGTTGTTCATTTTGCTCTGCTTTCTTAATGTGTATTGAATTGTGAATTAATTGTACTGATTTATTTTGCAGAATTGCTTGAACTTGCCAATGCTTACTGTGAGTTGCAATTGAAAAAACGATGCGAACAGATAATAAAACAAGGGATAACAGTAGAAAATGCTGCATTGTTATACTCTACTGCTATCGTGTATGAATGTAAGGTGAGTGTAGATATGAACATCTGTGTTAACCTTTCTGTGTGAAGAACTTGAACTCGAGGCCATAATCCACTCTGTGAGTATTTTACACTTACGATTTAAATTTAGGCATCAAAAATTACACTGGTTTTATAAATAATTATAACTTCATTAATTTTTATTTCTTTGGTATATGTTTAGTTTTTTGTTGTCTAAGAGGAATTATAAGTCTTCACCCTAGTCTCTGACCATGTGTTTAACCATTATCCTGCCATAATAGGGCATTTAAACCCCCAAACTATGGGGCTGCCGGCTCGATTCCAGTATGGGTTCTGATGGTTTTACTTCATGCTATTGCAACATGCAGCCAGTCGTGTCGAAATGGATCGCATATAAGCAGTGATGCATGATCAATAAAGGTTAACATATTCCTGCTTGACATGCCATCAGCAGACTGATATTCTTTATGCCAGCGAGAGATCACAGTACTGTTTACTGGATATCTTTGCTTGTCTAAATGAATAATGTATATGTCCTCGTCCCCTGCAACATATAGAAGTATCTGATTTAGATAGTTGAAATTCAGACCTTTCGATAGTCTTTGACTTGCCTAACAGCATTTTTCAGAGGAAAATTAAAGAATGTCCTTGTTTTAGTCCATTGTGAATTGAAATTGCAACTGATGAATGCTTCTTTTTAAATTTTGCTAGATTATTTTGTGCACTTAGGTGTATATTAAATACAGATTTTTTGACGTAAATACGTCTATACGGAAGGGTCATTTGGTAAAAACAGCATTAGTTAAGAAGATGTGTAAGATCCAGCGCCGAGTCACCTTTAAACGTTCATTCCTCAGGAATGGTAAGAGTAAGGGTAATGTAACCTATATGTAAAATGATCAGTAAATAAGGACCTTTAAGAATCTGTAATGTATTTTATTGTAATTATAATTGTTTATACATTTATTGTAATTTTAATGAACCGATGTGTATAATTTTCAGTGCATCTGGCGCGTTAAGCGCCTGCCTCTCGAAAACCGTAAGAGATGGATCTGGACATATTGCGTATTACCTCTTGAGCTTTCCATATCTGTTTTCAGATTTTACATACCACAAATGGTTTAGGTTCTACAAACATATATTTATACAAATAAAGGGGCATCACACTTCATGTTACTGCTATGTTTGCGTATTTACGTCATACTATGTAGAGCTAACAAGATGGATGACATTGAAGCTAAAAGAGTCCGATAATGATAAGTAAAATACAAAGACGTATTTATGTCAGATTCTCTGGAACCGTGGTTCCACTGTCAATTTTGTGTAAGTCACATTAATAAAAATATATTATAGTAATCTGCTAGCTGAACCATAGGCTGTTATTATTACAACAAAGATGAAGACGATGCATAAAAATTCTGCAATAGTAGTTTATCACAGTTTACATGCAGAATGATGTAACATTGATGGATGGATTATTTGTAAAGGTGTGTAATAAATAGAGGTTTCATTTCCAGGAATTGGAAGAGTTTTGTTTCAAGTTTTGTCTGAATCACATGACAGCGATAATACAAACTGAAGGTTTCAACTCACTTGAAGAGCAGACAGTGAAGAATTTTATTCGGAAAGCAGCCACTTCTGGAGTTTTCAGATCCTAGGATAAACGTTAAATATGTGTGATTGAATTTTAGATGCAAAAAGGGAAAATTAAGAAAATTACACAGTAATGACTGTGTAAATCCGATAAAGTGGTCAAGACTGAATGAAAGCATAGTTTTAATTGTCCATATGTTTAGAAATGAATCGAGTGAGATGCTGGAGACAGTTGTGTATGTAAGTATTGGTTGTAAGAGTTAAGAACACACATTTTTTAAATTTCAGTAGATTTATGATTCATGTTCTTGGATATCGGCAGCCAGTTATTTCTGAACACATTTCAATAACAGAAAGGTGTAGGGTTACGTGTTGGTCTTGAGCAAGAGAATAAATTACTTTTAATTGCTCGTCTTTTCAGGTTTGCTTTTCGCATGTATTTATAAGTTTGTGACTATTTAAATTCTTGTTGAAATGAAGCAAAGAGCAATGTAAGCCTTGAGAAATCCTGAAATGATTCAGTTTATTAGGTAAGCAGTAAAGAAAGCATTGATTTTTCATATTTTTCACGCTGTTGCTGTTATAATGAACAGTTACTGATAAATCAGAAGAAATCTCAAATTTTCGTAACTTTAGATTAACCTGGCATTGCCTGACAAGCTCCAGAAAGATTGTTATATTTGTTATTGAAGAAGTAGAAGTTTTTATTTGCATTTCCTTTACAGGACTTTTGTGTATATTAGAATATGATTATATTTCCAGGTTAAAATTTTAGTCATGGAATAAATTTGTAATGCTATTTTGGAGTGTAGAAGTCTTAGTTTGTGAACCTGAAAAAATTAAGTAAATTTAAATCGTGCATTTTGTTCTAGTCTTAAAATGCTTCTGGTTAAGATAATGATGGACCAAAAATCAACTAATTATAAACAAAATTGGTTGTTACCAAAACAATATCAGGTTGAAAATGTATTACGTAATGTTACGAATTTAATTTAACTTTTTTGCTGTAGTGGTGAAGTTCTTGTTGTGCTGCATTTATTTTTTTTCAATGTATCATAAAAGTTTTCTGCTTGGATTTTGAGTTTTTTTAAATGGTCAGTTTGGTTGATTTTTGGATGTTCGACTTGGATGTTAATTATGAAAAATATTTAGTGCTGAAAACAAAATAAATATTTTAAGTTCGTTTCATCCCATTCGGTTTTCCACTTGTCCCAGTCTGTATCTTTATATGTACATTCCAGTTTTGGAAATTTTAATGTAACAAGAATGTTTGTTGATGTTAGAACCAATGTTAAGGTGCGACTAAATACTTGAATTTGATACTTTTACTTTAAATTTCAAAATATATGCTAGGAAATTTTATCTAAGGAAAAGTGCAATACCATCATAAATAATTTTATAAGAAATGAGTGATACGTTGATGTTTGTATTTTGTTATTTGTTATATACACTTAAAGGCTACGTGAAAAAACAAAAATTTATAGAAACTACTCTGGAGACAGAACTTTGTTTGCTTATTAGTTTTAGTTTGATCATCTGGAAAATACAAATGGTTCTGTAAGATGGGAACTGTTAACAACTACTCGCCGCAGAAATGTACCGTGTCCGATGTTTTAGCAATTTGAAGTTCAATTTATGATTAAACTAATTTTTTTATTGCAGAAGTAATTTAACGGTATGTAATATAATATGTGGATGATCCTGTGATGACCTTGAACTTTGGTTACTTTCAATGGAACTACGAAGGCTGTCAAGAATTATTATAAAGACTGACTTATTTTTATATTATGTCAATAAAACTTTCATGTACCTTTAGACAGTGGAATAGTTACGTATATAGTCTGTGTATTGTTTCGTTGATGTGTAAGTAAGGTTTAAGGAACTTTGAAAAAACAATATTTGAATTGTATATTTTATTTGTAGAATCTCTGCATTGCACAGAATAATCAAAGGAATGTAAGATTTGAGGTTTTCACGGCAATCAGTATGAAGATTTTTGTCTTCTGGGTTTTTGCGCTGTGTAGACTGGTCGATGTTAACCAACGTTTCAGAGGTCATACTGCCTCCGTCATCAGGGCGATGAGTATGCCATTCACATTCTGGCACCTATAAACCTAGCCCCACACACCCTATTGGCATATTCATCGCCCTTATGACGGAGGCAGTATGACCTCTGAAACGTTTAATCAAAGGAACTTCAAAATGTTTTATATTTTGATTTGAGATGTGATTCCAGAGGAAAATAACTTACATTGAAACTTATGTTTATGAAATCAAGTCCCATATTTGCTAATTTTAATAGGCATAAATTTTTTTTGAAAGGATCTGTCAAGTAAATAAATTCTAGGAGAAATCAATGGAACCATCAGCGCTTTGACTTTTAACAGTAATGAGTAAAATAGGATTTCAGTTGTATGTGATTTTTTCATATTAGAATTATTTTTTTAATCAATAATATAACTTTTTATTTATTGGTGTTGTTAATTAGAACAAAAAATCTCAAACCTTACATCTCTTGTAGGTCAGTGCACACTTTATGTTATATCACGATGAGACAGAGGCATTATTTATTTAGCAACAAGTTTTCATTGCTAGTAAAATCTTTTTTTAGTATTGTTATCCTTTTTATTGTGTTAAAGCACTACGCAGTTTGGATTCAATAAATAAATTACAATATATTAAGTGTTAATTTCTTTCACGACTTTTGTGTGTGTATGAAATGTAATGAAGAATAAAATGTACCTTGTATTTTCAGTTCCTTTAAAAGTTTGGAGCTAATACTGTGACACTTTCTCAATCTGTGTTCTTCACGAACCAGGGGTTCTGTGAAGGAATAGTGTCTAACGGCAGACTAACTCATTTTATCAGAATGTCTTCGCTGTCGCAGCAGTACAGTTAACGCTTTGCATTGCGTCATCACTCCTTTCGGTCATACTGTTTGGTTTAGAGGAAAGAATTATTAATCACTGGGTAGATTCTGTTGTGTGCATTCCCAGTGCATCAGTCAATGTCAGTGAGCCTGCACTTCTAGGTTATAACATGGCAGCACTCTGGTGACAGTAACTGACATTATCAATGAATTAATTTTGCCAGTTCACGTCCAGTTTTCATAAAGGTAGGACAGAGAGCAGAATGGTGCTGACTGTCTGAGTAACATTAAAAATTAATTATCGATGAATGTGTAGTGATTTTTTTTAAATATTTTTAATCAAATTCGAAGTTTAAAGAGAAAGAAATTTCAGAGAAGTGTAAATATCGTGATTGCTATGTCTAGTCTGAATTTACTTATGATGATAATTCCAATGCAGCTGTTAACTGCAAAGATAAACTTATTGTGTTATTTGAATGTAAATGTGATTAATTGAAGCATTTTTGAACTAATCTGACATCAGTCATTAACTAACTCCACGGAGCAAAGTTCTCCTTGATAAATTGATAGTACATTCAGCTAATGAAGAAATTCTCCACTTTTTATGCATCTTAAAGGATGAGTAACCGTTCACAAGAGCCTACCACCAGTCCCTGTCCCTTCAATCACATTTCCGTAAGATTCATTTGGGTCTTCAAGTGGTCTCTTCCCTCTAGGATTTTTAACCAATATTTTATATGCATTTATCACCCCCCCCCCTCGTGCGCTAAATGCCCCTCCCATCTCACTTTCGTTGATTTGATCACCCTAATAATATTTGGTCAAGAGTACAAATTGTGGAGTTCTTCATAATGCGCTTTCCTCCAGCCTCTTACTTCATTGCTCTTAGGTACAAATGTTCTCCTAAGTACCCTATTCTCAAACACCCTCATTGTGTGTTCTTCCCGTAATATGGCAGACTAAATTGTAGACCCATTACAGAACAGTCAAAATGGTCGTTTTGTGTATTTTAATCTGTCTTTTTAGTTAGGCCGAAAGACAAAAGATTGTGGAATTAACGGTAGCAAACATTCCCGGAATTTATTTCGCTCTCACTTTCTCATGAACGCAATTCTGATTTTTTTAAAGTCGTTCCCAAATATTTGAACTTCGCTACGTCTTGTCCTGCACTCTAGCGACAAGAAGTGAACATATAATTCGGTTTCTCTGCCTTTATTTCCGGACCAACTTACTGGCATGTAATAGACCTTCTGTATTTTTTGATGTGCGTGTTTTCGACCGATAAAATAGTATCAGCACATACCAGAAACGTATGTGTCGTCAGTAATTAAAGGTGAAAATGGGAATGTGCTTAAGGTAACAAAGTTACCACATTGCTAGTTGCAGTGAAGCCGATGCAGTTGTCTTCAATCTAATCATACGTTGCCTTGTGATAATCACTTGTTGGTTATCAAACCAATATCTTAAAAACAAAGGAGACTAAACATATCCATGTTTCAAAATTTCATTTTAAAGTCTTTAAACATGGGAAACGGAAACGTTCAATGTCCCACGTAGAGGCAGGTCTACGTACCTGTCCATCATTTGAGATCTATCATCACGGAACTCAAAGAATGGACGCTAATGAAATTTTAAATTGGCATTTCAGATAAACAGGTCAGTACATTGGCTAAGCGTTCCACGATCGGAGAATGATTCTCGGTAGAGTTACTGACTGTTCTCTTTGCCACTACGTCCGTACTAGGTCTATGGTTCATCCAGTCTTCTATCCAATTTTATCGGGATAGAACGGCCGTTGTGTGAAGGTGAATCCTCTCCACCCAAAATTGGTGAATCTGTTAACTCTTTAAATCTTACGGGTGAAGGTTTAGACCCAAATTTTTACCTCAAAGTAAAACGTTAAGCATCTACTGGCATAATTGAAAAACCTTGACCAAGCAACGAAACATATTTCAGGTTAAGTAATAGAATTTAATAAAACAGATTAAATATTTTATGTTTGAAACATCTGTTTCTTCCACTAAATGGAATTAAAGCAAAGTGGGGGTGTTTATTCTGTCTGTCTGATATTTGCACGTTTCATTTACGAAACTACTCAACGATTGTCGACATTTGGCACTGAAAGAATTTGAAATTTATTGGTATCAGTTGTTTGTGACTATGTGTACACATACATAAAGTTCTAATAGATTTTTATCAACCGCGTATCGTAAAATAATTGATGCATGACATAACATACAAATATCATTAGCATCTAAAACTTGTACCTACTTAAATGCTTTTTCTGTGTGGAGAATCATTAATGAAATAGAATATATAACAACGATTCAGTGCTGTGTGGTATTTGTAGTGCAATTACATTTGTATCTGCAATACATGGACATCGAAACCAAATGAGAATACAAAGCCTCAAAACACGTAAGTTACCGAAAGAAAGCGTAAAATAGGATTTGACGTTCTCCCGGCAGCTAGTGTCGAAAATAGCTGTCTTCAGAGTTGTAGCACCATGTAATCTGGTACAAGATTACCGACGTTTTAGAAGTACTTGCTGCCTTCATCATCAGGGCGATGAGGCAGAAAAGACAGGGCGCTACCAGACTACACGTACCGAGTTCTGGCGAACGACAAAGTGAAAGAGTGCGCGTTTGAATCTTTATTTTTCAGTATACTTGTCTTACCGCCACGGTGGTCTAGCGGTTAGAACGCTGGCCTTGTAATCCTGGGGTCTCGGGTTCGATTCCCGGTGGTGCTCGAATTTATAACTTGTGTTGAGCAAGGCCGTGATGTAGGCAACACGGAGTTTTCCTCCGGGGGGCTTCCCCGGTTTCTCCGTGGCATCCCAACAATTACTCCATTCACACACAGAAGAAGGCAATGGCAAACCACTTCTGGGTCATCTGCCAAGAACGTATATGAACAGGTCCCAGTCCGAGAAAAGGATGGAAGGATCCTGTTCATATGGACCTGTCGTCAGACAGAACACTAAATAATATTAATAATAATACTTGTATTATTTAGAGAGCGTGATTATGTGGACTGAATCCATTTTGAACAAAATAGGGGCCAATATCTGCCTCTTGCGGTCACTAAAAACGCGGGGAATGTCTTTATATAGGAATTCGTTTTATGGAATCTGTTAAAGTGAAATTTAGGACACTGTATTTCACACGATTCAATAAATATGTCTTGAGATTGAAATGGGAAGAACAAGGGACGATCCAATTTGAAACGATCTTAAAACTTTGAGAAGGGAAGATGGAGTGAAGGATATAGCATTTGTAAGTGAAACGTCGCCGACAAATTGGAGATTGATTTTCTACTGTTACTGCCTCTCCACATCTTTCCCAGGAAGTTGGATTGCACCTTCCTTTTTTTGACTATTCAGCAGAGCGAACTGGAAGTATCAGTCCTCTTGAGGTGAAATCTGAGATACGTCATGCACCGCGCCTTCTTCCTTTCAATGCGACATAATTGAAATGCTGACGGTATCTTATAACTTCCGACAAGCAATTTGATTGAAACTAGCCCCTTGTTGTGAATGAGGCGAGTTTCGTGGGTTTATTGATAAATTATCGAGTAACTTAACAAAACCATTTCAAGTACATTGGTTGTACATGTGTATCGTCGAGTTCAATCGTAGAGATGTTCGAACGTAAGTATATTAATTATTCTGAAAACAGAATTCGTGGTCTGTACTGTCTTGATTTTTGTCAGGAGACTGGGTAAAACTATGAAAAACAAGTCAGAATAGCTTGTTACTCGGTGCGAGATTCAAATCAGGTGTATCTAAAATATGACAGACTTTACCGCTTCGTTATTATTCTATGCCACTGGTTTAGTTTTCTAGGTTTCAGATTAGTTTTCGATAATTGTATAACCAACAAGGGCTTAGAGCGATTGAGATTCCAACACTATTGTAAGGCGAAGTCTGTTTTGTGTCGTAAACCGATTTGTTCGAAAATTAGTTCTATAGCGAGCTGTGTTCGGAACAGCAACGCGTCTGGTATAATGCCTGATTGATGACGTGACGACAGCAGCCCGGATTATTTGTGCTATGAGCAAACTCGATACTCTTTACGAAATTTTAGTAGGGTAATAGAGTGGGGGAAGAGATGGACGGAGTATGCAGTACGCACTGGGAGGAGATAAATACAAATGTAAACTGAAAACCTGAAGGAAAGTGACATTTGGAATGGTACAGGCGCAT